TCTCTCTCTCTCTCTCTCTCTCTCTCTCTCTCTCTCTCTCTCTCTCTCTCTCCTGATATTTTACTACACGATTGTTACCTGAACTTATCGAGATCGTATCTTATCCCTGCGAATTCCCCTTTCTTTCTCTTTGCCTTTGTGTTTCTTTGCCGATCGTGAAGGTATCATGCACAGATACATACATACGCGACAAAACAATGAGTCTATCTTAAGCACGTATATCTTTTACAACTTTCCATTACAAACGAAGAGGAAAGTCGATGAAAAGAAGTTGTTGCTCCAATTATATGGGTGGAAACGACCTCCAACTGTTCTTATTTACCTAGATGGTTTATATTAAAAAAAATACGCTCGTTATTGGCAGTGTTCACAGGGTACCGGAAGTCACACACAGTTGCAAACTATAGGAACACCGTCCAGTTGGCGAATATCTCCTCGTTTCTTAACAAGAACCTTTCACGTATGCATCCGGTCCCAGTAGAAAAACCGAAAGGTTGCTTGCTGTGAAAAAAATTCTTTCCTCTATTAAACTATCCGTTTCCGTTCTATTTCTCGATAAATGCCCAGTTATTGTGATCGACATCAATTTCACGATATTTGTCCAATGGTCTTTAACGAACAAATTGAAAATTTTTTCGAATTCATGCACGGATCAATTTATCGATTGATATCTTTGGAACGAAGAAATAAATCGTTTTGTTATAACAATTCTCGATGTCAAAGTGATGTGTCGAAAATCAAAAATTTTTTGAATCCGTTTTTAAAACGATTCGATTGGATATTCTTTCGCGAAAACCAAAATAAAATTCTTGAAGTGTATCTCTATGAGAGATTTGGCAAGAGGTAAAAAGAATACGTGGAAACTAACGTGCAAAATCTCATGATCTACGCCCCTGTCGTGTAGCCATCGTGCAGGCAATGCGACCGTCTAACAAATACGAGTTCTCGTATCCAGCAGCAAAGTGTCGCAACCCGCGATGCTAATTACCAACAGGTAGGCATGTTATTATTCTATGCCGGCTCTCAGAGACTTATGAAATGAATTTTCACACCATATAGTTTATATCTACCATCTATATCTCGTTTTTATTTCGATATAAGTACATTACACTAGTTTTGTATAAAATTATATTTACAATATGGAACGAAGGCTGAAGGACGTTGATTTGGATACGTTCAGTATTCATACGTTCAAGTAAATTCATATCATTCTAAATAAAATTGAAAATTTTACGATACAAGAAAATTGTGGACAAAAATAAGAATAATAAATCAAATTAATGAAAAAAAGAGTGAAATAAGAAGATCTAAATTTAATAAACAACAAAATTTCGACAATGACGACTGAACGTATCCAATTATACCTTTGAGCTAAATTAAAGTACTTTCTGCTCGTCTCTTTGGAAACTTCTACGCTACGTGACACACAGAGTGAAATACAGTAAACGCAGCAGCTGTGTATGCAAGATCAACGTAATTGTACTAGATTGACCATATACACACCGTATTTTCGTCGACTTAAATGTAACGACGATCCGACTCGAAAGCAAGAACGAGTCGTTGCGAGATAGTTGAAAGTTGCCGTGCGGAAAATCGTATGGACGAACACACGTGGGACGTTTTCCCTTTCATAGAAGTCGATTCGTTTCGCTGACGATACCGGTCCGTGTTGTTCCGTGAAAACTGTGTCGCCACGATCCCCTTATCGACGCCGCTTTTCCTTTATTCTCACGCTCTTCTCTCGTGTATCTTCTCATTATGGAAACGATGATCTCTGTGTCCAGCTACTGCAATTAAGATTGTCGACGACTTGTACGTTATGATTGTACGTTTCTTTGGACGAGAAAATTAATTGTCGAAGAAGATAAGCAACCTTGTAATTCTCTTGACAAGTGATTGGAACGAGTATGAGGTATAATTTCGAGGGAAAACGTAAAAAAAAAAAAAAAAAAAATAGGGACGTCGAGTGTGAGAACGGTTCAAGCATACAGCTTTATGAAATTTCTTCTTCATAAAATTCTTCCCCTTCAGGGATGATTACATCGTAATTAATATAATAGAAAAATAAATAATATATTTCGAAACATCTTGTCTAAATTGTACAAACAATTGTGAAACAATTTTTTTGCTTACAAATTTACGTGTACTTCTTATAGCTTATCCTTTAATGTTTCGAATCTATTTAAATTGTCAACACGTGTCATTCCCTAAAAACCATATATATATATTCTACAGTTCAAACATTAACTTTTCTACGCAATTACAATTACATCATCCTATTTAATTTCTGAAATCACTCGTACGCGTAACCTCGCATAAATTCTGCGAAACGAAACTACTACTATTCGTTATAAAAAAAATGAACTAAATTCCGACGCTCAACTCCTCTTTGATCTCATAATAATAACCACGTAGAGAAGTCGTCAACATAGAATTTCTCACATCTTCTTCTTCATCGTTTCCTTCCCTTCCTCCTCCTCATCGGTGATAATCTGCACGCTTCTAACCGGTCCAGTCTTCCTGTATCTCGAAGCAGGCGTTGTTGTGGTCATAACCGGCGACGTGACCATGGTGGATGGTCGTTCAGCGTTGATCGCCAGTTGCAGCATCCTCAGCAGCAAAGCTTCTCGGATAGGCGCGGGCAATATTTCGTCCCCCTCGTCACCGACCTCTTGCGCGTAGAACTTCTGCCTGTATACCCTCTTCGAGTACCTTCCGTCGTTGTAATCCTCGTACTGTTGCGGTTGATAGACAGGACTCAAGGCCCTGCTGGTGTACACGGTGGGACGTCTGACGGGGACACGGTCGCCGTACTGAAGCGGGACTTGCTGATCGTAGCCAATTTCCGCTCGCGGCGCGACAGTCTGATAGCCCGGCTGATAAGAGGGATACGGTTGCTGATCGTACAAGGCGTCCTCCAGGTAAGTTTTCGGATAGGAGAGAGCCTGGACGCCGTACTGGCTGACCAGCAACCTCCTCAACAGCAATTGGAAGTCGCGTCTGCTCAGAGGTGGATTGATTGGATTCGGTGGTTCCGGGGGCAAGGCCAGAGTGCTGCTCCTGTAAGGATATTCCGAGGTCGTTTGGTACTCCCTATCGTCGATTGGAGTGACAGGTGGGGAGACGGGTCTCAACACGGGCCTGGGCCTTGGCTCTTGGAAGATGACGGGCCGCGGAAAGGGCCTTGGACGCATGTAGCCCGGCGCCATCGCGACTCTTGGGTCCTCTTCTTGCTCCGGGAGAGGATTCTCCGTTAGATAGTGAATGTTCGCGTCCGTCGTCGTGGAGTAAAGTGGCTGTTGGCCTGGCAGAGGGCGCAACAAGATTCTGTTGACAGAGAGAGGCCTGTAAGCGGGATCCTCCTCGATGTTCTGTTGAGCGGGGACTAATATTCTTCCTCCCGGTACTTCGCGCAAAAACTGTTCCGGCTGTTGTCTGACGAAGATCGGCTCCGTGCTTTGGCGCAGATACTCTCGATTTTCCGCCACGCGTGGAGGGCCACGAATCAAAATTGGTTGAGGCGAGACACGCTCCTCCGGAACCGTTTTCGTCTCCGCTTCGAAAGCTCTGGAATTTACGTTCTCGAACGATCTTGCCGGGGCTAGGTTCTCCCGATTGACGTACACTTTCGGCTTTTCCACTCGACCAGCCGGCGAGACGCGTTGCAGAACCCTTGGTGGAGTGGACGTGGTGAACAGGGGTCGAGTCGTGGACAAGGAACCACCGTAAACGTCGGAATGATCATCGTTACTCCCCTCTACGATCGGACTAGGTTTCGTGGTGTCTTCGTGCAGCTGCCTCCTTAAATTATTCCCACTCGTCACTTTGGTTTCGTCCTCTTTCTCGATGAAATCGTCAGAGATGGGCCGTAAAGTTTGATCGACCGGCCGTTTGGCAAAAATGATCTTTCTGTACGTGGACGTTTTGTCATCCGTGGTTGGACGATTTATCTGGGAATCCTCGTCCTCTGCGCTTTCCTCTTCGATTATCAGTGGCCTCTGCTGGCCGTTGATAATGAAACGTGGCCTACTCTTCCCCGTTCCTTTCAGATAATGACTGAATATCGTCCTCGGTTGTTCCGTGGTGGTGGTGGTGGTTGTGGTCGTGGAAGTGGTCGTCGTCGTCTTTCTGTTTCGCGGTATGGATTGGACCACCGACGATTTTGTGGATGCTTCGGTCGAGGAAGGGTAGACGATGTTTGGTTTCTTGGTCGTGGTGGTGCGATTTAGGCGTGGAATGCTTTGTACGACGGACACGTGCTCCTGCAATGGCGACACCGTGGTTGCTTTAAATCCTGTTCCATTAGAGGAAGAGTACGATACCCTCTTAATTTCACCATCCGCGTCGACGAAACCGAACGTACCCTTGATGTTGCCTAAAACGTCACGGCTCTCGACCTGACAATAATTTCTTCCGTTCAGCAAATTTCCTCGTTGATCGACAAATTTTCAAAATATTTATCATTTATATCAAACGGATATTATTAAATTATTTGATTTTAAGAAAACATCGTACAAACGTAAGATATTCGCTACGTTACTCGAAATTGATAATTTATGCCAAGCACTTTCATGTTTTCTATTGCATAAATTTAACCTACTTTATTCGCTCTATTAGCGATGTTTCAAGAGAGAACTCTGCGCAATTAAGCTGTTCAAATTACTCGAAGAGGCTGTTTCCTTATTTCCAACAATTAGAAAATATAAACGATGTCAATATTTAACAATTTAACAATTTAATTGCACAATTTGCTTGTTCAAACAGTACCTCTCAGAAGATCACTCGAATTATGAAACGCGTTACGTTACAACGATAAATCTCTCGAGTATTAAGAAATGTAGAACGCCCATTACATACCTTTCGCATTAAACGGTGCAAGCTATTTAGTCTTACCTTGAAAGATCCATCCCCAGCCTCGTAACCGTAAGTGTAAGAACCGTCTTCATTCACTTTTCTGATCTGTTTCAGGATCGCCACCTGTTGATCGTGGTGTGTCTCGGATGTTTGCTGGTCCGTGACGTTTGAACAGCCCGCGGTAACCAGACAGAAAATTGCCATCAGCCATGGCGTCATCTCGACGGCGGCAGATAATGATCTCTGTGAACGGATAGTTAAATATAATTGGCACATCTTATGTTTAATTCAATAATCTTTATCGCTTATGATACGAATAGTTAATGATAAAAGAAACTAATGTCACATCGATCGACATTAGCGCTTGTTACGAAAGATTATTCAGATTTCTTGATCGTAACACTTGCGTTTATTACATTACATATAAAAACGATTTTAGAAAAAAAATGATCGTTGGTAAAGAAAAAGCTGTTTACGATAAAAAGAAGTGTTTTAAAGAGGGACAAAAAGGGTGGAAAAATATCGAATCGTGGACGAATCGAAAAATCACTCTGGGACACACTCTTCACTTAAACCGGTTAAACTGAATTTATTAGAGACGTCGAAGCACCGGCAAAGAACTACCGAGAACTGTGCACTGAAAAGTGAAAACGATGCACTGCAATATTCACAATCACCGAGAATACACAATGGATATAATATCGGTTATATCCCGCGAGATATATCGTATAATTAAATTTCGCTGCGTTAAATTAGCCTTTGTAGTTGTTCGATATTAATCAATTGATAGATACGATGAACACGTTGCCACACTGATCGGTGAGCCGTAAGTAGTTCGAGCGGTAAGTAAATACCTTGTAACTGGAAACCATGTTACCGCAGATGCGGTGAACGTTCTTAATATCGCGTGGGGTGCCCACTGCCACTTTATATATAGAGTGACACAGCGTACAACCACCACCCTTTCCACCTCAACTTGCTCTCCAACGACGCGCTCAACCTTGATGACCCCTAAACGTTGGTTACGAGAAGGTGTAATATTGAATAATAAGCGTTAATCAAACATTCTTGCCTCCGGAATTGAAAATTGCACAATTTTCATTCACTTTTGGTTTTTGTTTCTATCGATCAATTTGGATCAATGGAATAATTAAGTTTACATTCAGTTTCAACGAAATAACATTTTTTCGAAGTACTTTTCAGATTATTGATAAATTTCCATTTTGATATATCATGTTTTACATAAAATTTACAGCATATAATTGTTCCATTTCGTTTATATGTTTTCTTTTCGTTTACCAACAGATCTAAAGTATAATAAACGTTTTTTTAACAAGTAATAAATATTTCAGATCAGATTGCGTTCATCGTACGTAATTCCTTTTAAACGTGTCTATTAGTCATATTGTTTTAAAGACATCATTCACAAAGCGTGTATCTAACGATACCTAATCTGAACTCAAAATTCCAATGGTTTTTTCCATTGCATCTGCTTACGATTATTAATTATTCTTGAAGAATAGTCGAAACATTTCATTTCTCGCCACGAACAAAAAAGAAAGAACGGAACAAAAAAAAAAATTTCGCGTGGATCACGATGAAAGTACGCGCAAAGCGGCGACAAGAAAGAGCGGAAGTTTCTTTACAGATGGTGGGCGCAAAGACAAAGAGGAAACAGCGACGACAGAATAGAAGAAGTTTTGGACTCGAGAGGACACGAGTGAAAGCCACGTGGGAGTACGCGGCCAGACAAGAACAGTAGTAGTCTGTAAAATCTGTAACAATAGTTCCCATAGTGTGCAACATCTCGTATTGTGGTATTCGAGTTCTATTCTAGACACTCCCACAGGACAATTATTACATCATGCAATTTCCTCCAAGTTTCGTACAGAGATTCATTTTTTTGATGCCACTTTGATATGCCTCTGTCGTGGACCTATCGGTTGTATATCTCCCCTTTAGATCCCTTGTTGTTCAATCTCTCGCGGTTTGTCGTTGCACTCCCTCTACTTAGTCAGTTAGTAGTTTCGAGTCATTGTTATTGGGAATTTTAAGACAGTCGCGTTGCTTAACCTCGCATTTGCGATTCTGATACGCGAGTACGCGTTTACCGGGCGCTTATTTGAAAAAAAAAAAAAAGAATTAATTGTCTGTCATCTTTTTTGATCCTCGAGATTTCTGCTTTTATATACGGGAATACGTATTCATCTTCGTTTAATTAGGAATAGAGGAAATGACGTTTCAATTTCACTTTTCATCTTCCTTTTATGCAGAGATGTTATCTTGCGATAGTTATGAAATCTTTGATCTTTCTTTTTGTTTATTAGAGATATAGACATTTTTGATATACGATCGCACGAAAAGATATTGCATTTAATTTTCTTAAACTTTCTGTATTTGATTGACTGTCAAAAGATTTTGAAATTTATGACAAAGGAAATTGAATTGCCTGAGTTTTTCGTTTGTGATGTGATTTATTTTTCATTATACTTGGAACTCGAAAACAGGGTTGTTGTTGGTTTTAGGTAAGAATTATTACGAAACTAAGCTGATCGTGATAATTATACTTTGCGAGTATATACTTCAAACGTCAAAAGGGGAGGAATCTAAGGGATATACATATATTTCAGGACACGCAATCTAACTTTCCGGAAGAAGTTAGCGAATACAGTGTTAATTGTAAGGCAACCACAGACCGTGCATTACCGTGAGTATGTTTTATGGACACGCCTACATTATTACCTGTGAAACAACTGACATTCTTGCTCTGAGAACTGAATAATGGTATTTTGTTTTAAGCGTTCCATAATATTAAAAATACATTTTTAAATTTCACAGAGTTATTTTGAATCGCATAATGTATTTCTAAGACTGTTTTAAAATCTATTTTATATTAATTTTTTTTCATTTTATGGAAAAACAAATTATAAATATCCGTAGTTTATAAATACAGATGACAACATCGTTATTGCACTGTCCAGTAATTCTCATCCTAGATACATATTTGATTATGTATCATAGAATATCGATCATGATGACTCATTGATGACAGTATCTTGAATAAGTATACTACAGTTTCTTTCATAAAAGTTCTTTCGTAAAAATATTATTAATTAATACGCGAAGCAATTTTAAATATATAGAAAAAAGATATTACAACACATACTGCTTTTCTTAAAAGAACGTATTTGAAATATTTAATTCTTTGTTTCAAATTTTTCACAAATGTTTCAAAATGCTTTGTACATGTTTTTAAATATACGAAAATACGCGCCTTATTCGATATATCTCGATACGTGCCGCGTTCGATATATCTTTCGATGATTGCGCGCGCATCGCTTCAGTAGTAACGTTCGAATTTGCCATAATGTTAACGTCTCGTGAAAATTTCGTGAAAATAATTCAGTGTTTTAGACAAGTGAAAGTGTGTGAAATCAAAGTTTGATATTAATTATAATTAAGTGTAAGTAAATTTTTTTGTGCATATATAATTTTGTCGATTTTATATGGTTTTGATATTTTTTAACTCAATTTGATAATCTTAGGTTAGATTAGCATTTTTGGCACAAATATGATTAAAATAACCAAGATTAATCTAATTATTTAATTAATTAATTAAAACATAATCATTTCTAAATTCTTTAAGCGAAGAAAAATTAAAACAATATGCATCTTTGTTGACAGGTTAATAAACTTTGTCGTCTTTCGTATTCCTTTGTGCATTTTTTCGACAATCGATACGAACAACAATATGCGTCAATTGCAATGGTGAGTGAATACAATTTTCTAAAAGTAAACATAGTTAATAAATGTAATAAGAACATTAAGATAAATATTTATTTTAAATAACGAATTTATTTTTCATTAACTATGCTTACTTATTATTATAATATTATTTTTATGAATTGTAATATAAATTTAATTAAAATTTACATTCAATTGCAATTAAAATTACAATTATTCTTCTATAAGTTATGTCGAGTATAATTTATTGTCGAATATATTTTGTATCAAAACTATTGATTCATTAATCTTCCATCGGTAAGACAGTGTTCTATAAAGTTGGTATGCAACTTTCGCTAAACTCCGATAGTTGTAAAATCGTAAATATACTATGATATACTATAATATATTTATATTTACTATAAATTAAAAATTTTACAATTTAACAATAACATATATTTATCATAAAAATTTATATAAAAATTTAAATAACATTTTGTTTATTTATATCAAATAATTTATTCTCGTCTTCACTTATAAAACAAAAACTTCAAAATAAATTAGTTCATTAAATGAAAGATAGAATGTTAAATTTATAATTGAAGTTGTCTATAGAATAAATTTTAACTTTAATTAAATCAATCTTTTAAAATACCATTGAATTCAATAATTATTAAATAATTTAACAATGACTCGAGAGAAACATTTATCATTTAATATATGTCGAAATTTGACTTCATATCGTATAAATCATTCGGTTCGCGCGCTTTCACAATTGTATTTCAAAGTGAAGTTTAAAAAAAAGAATATTGGCAACTACTTGCTGCATATAAACTTGACGCGATTTGATTTAATACTTTAACCAGATCCTTTCGTTTTCAATCACTTTCACCAATGTAGTTAACTTTTACCGCAAAAGTGAATTTATTTACAAAGAACTATATATTCCCTTCCGCACTGTTTCCTGATTATTGTTTGATTCTTTTCATTTGTTTTCGTTATCGTTATATACTAGAATAAAAAAAATACCTAGAATATGTATATCCATATATTAGGAAAAAAGAAATTTTCATTTTTTATCTTTACCTTTCTCAAAATAATAAAAATTATTTTTATTATTAATACTATCGAATATTAATACTTTAGGAATCGAATTAAATTTTCATTTGTTCATCTCAAAAATCCATCTATGATCTCCAAAGATCAGAATTTAATTCTCCAAATCGTTCGTTTCAAAGATCAATCGATTATCTCCGAAGATTAGATCTGTTTCGTGGCATTTGTATTAAAATAAATTTACGATACCCTATTCTTCGAGTAATCCAATTTAATCGATACCTATTGCATCATTCTATCGCACCTCCCAAGATTTCAATCGAACTCGATTCTCCTTTCGAACGTTGCCCTTAATCGGGCGAAGAGGTTGCACGCGTGCTATTTATGATGGGATCGTAGTGAGAACGTAGAAACTTGGACAGTACAAGCATCTCTGGTGATGTAATGATGCTTGCACGCAATTGCAGACGTCGACTTCCTTATTTTTTTCTAATTTCTTTCTTACGGAAGCGGTTTCCGCGTGCGTTTAACCACTGTAAAACACGAATAGAAAATAGATCGTTGTCAGTGGCGGACTCGTTAACATTTGCACGCTGCAATTACACGTCTCTGCGTACAAATGCTAAATATATACGCGAGTAACTTCATTTCTTGTTTCTTGGCGACGTAATGATCTAATTTCACGCGTTGAATCAGAAGACGCGTAATATCTTATCTAAGAAAAATTCAATCAATAATAAAAATTTAATTGAAAGAGAAATAATGAAATATCGGTTCGTATTGAAATTGATTGTATTCGATGATATTTTTCTTTTATTAATAAAAACAAACAATTGATCTAGACATCTAATTTTTCAAGAATTTACAATTTCGTTGTAAAAGTTTCCGAAAAGGGAAGTTAAAATTATAATTCTAGAATTGTACTAATAACACGCGTTGAAAATTCAATTAATATACATTGAAGTTACAAAAGCGTATCGAGAATTACGCAATCGCGTGTATAGATGCAAAAAAATCGCGGAAGATGTCGCGTATCGAACGTTTATCATACTTACGATTTCCTCCAGTACTTTTACTTTCTTTTCTAACCCGTTTAGCGAATGGGAACTTAAATAGGTATCAAGAAAAAAAAAAAAAAAGAAAAAGAAAAATAGGACACGAGTTTTTTTTTCTTTTCATTAAAATACATTTTTCTTTTCGATCACGTTTACAAATAATATATATATATATATATATAATATAAAAAAAAACAACTATAAACGTATAAGAGAGACGTGTTCCTTATCGACGTAGTACTGAAACGTATAAATCACTAGGTAGCCGCTAGATATATTAATTCTAACGAGATAAAATATTTACAATATGAGTAGACAAGTGCATGTCGACACTTCTGTATCGACAAGAAAAGATTACAAGAAAAACTTTGTTTATGCGAAAGAAAGAAAATTTAATCGCAAGTTAACCAGAACCTTGCTTACCTTTATATTCTTATTAAAAAAAGAAAAAAATCCAGAATTTTTAACGAATCAAAATATTTGCATAAAATTACAAAATTTTAACTTATCAATAAGATAATAAAACCCTGATCTTCCAATCATTTCACATAAACAGAGTTTTACCGTACAACGTTACACAATTGCGCTAGATCCGCGTTCATCTTCTCGAGACGCCCATCCCTTGTATCCTAACTCGTCCTCGATTAAACGGAATTACGTTCCGTTTTTACTCACTCTTCGTTCAAAAGAGCTTACAACTTATAAATAATAGATACACGATAAATATATAACGAAGTTGACGATCGTCGGCCTGGCGTCGCGTATCGGGGAAAGCATTTCTCAAAAAATTTCACGACAATTTCGATATATATATATATCACCGATACGGAACGAGTCGTTTCGATGCGTGTGAAATGTTTTCACGTGATTCATATCGATCCACGCCTCTCGATCCACGTGTTTCCACGATACGTGATCGCATAGCTTTCCACGGAATCGAGTCGTAGGATTTAGATTCGAATCGATTCTCACACTTGCGACAGGGAATGCAAAATAGAAAGTTTTGTTCGCCCTCCTCGAGTAGGGAATGTGGACCACGCCAATGAAAGTAATGCTACATTTATCCTCGTAGAATTCAATCTATCGGTTGAAACGAAATTTTAAACCGATCTTGCCGATCTTGAACCCGGTTTTATCGATCGGTCTTTTGACAAGGTGTTTCGAATCGAGACGGTAAATGCGACTCTACTGGCGGGAATATTGTACGATGGACGGGGTGAAAGTCGGTGAATTCGGAATTTTATATCGTAGAAACGCGGATGAAACGATTCTGGTTCTTTCTTCTACGTAATATCGAATTGCGTGGATACTTTTGCATGGATACGTGTCTCTTCAATTTCGTTATGTAGTGTTTCAAACGTTTGGTGGACAAGCCTAAGCGACGTAATGTTAATTTAGATATAAAATATTTTATTTGAAAGCTAGAAATTACGTGAACTTCCGTTCAATGAAAAAAGAGTAGTCATAAGTAGACTTTTGTATGCATGGATCTGGTATACGCATGAACCAGTTTATCCACTTACGAGTTCTTCATATTCCACTGTATTTAATATTTACTGGCTTTAATTGTGCAAAGGAATAAATTTCTTTCACATATATAGAGTTCTGTGTGTTTAATTGAAGGTAGTGTTCGATTAAATCTGTTCAAAACCATCAATTTATCATTTTCTGATAAATTAGAGCAAATACATCATAAATCGTGCGATAAAGTTTAGCGATTCAGTCGATTTTGTAATTAATTCCCTTCCATCAATTTCTTACGTATTTCCTATGAATCATTTCCCTGGGAAACGGTGTGATTAAACGTGGCGTCGTTGTTACAACAGTAAACATTTATCCGGTTCAATCCTACGGGTTCGCATTTTGTAATCAAATGAGCACGTAGGTCGGGATTCTATTCGAAACGATCGTGAGCACACGATGAATAATTCTGGTCATGGCGTTCGGAATCTGCGGTGTTACAGTATGAATAGACGCGACGAGAAATTACTATGGTAATGCGTTTCGTGTGCGTGAGTATATATTGCGTCAGGTCATTGACTTTCACTCTCTAATGATAGTCGTTCTCGAAACGTTCATGAAAAAAGAAAAAAAAAAAAGAAAAGAAAAAAGAAGAATGTAATTTCGAAGCTGATCTCGAAATTGGTTCATTAATTACGATAATATTATCAACGACGTCGTTATTAATTAGTGGTTATTTGTTCGAGTTGTTCGAATTTCATTACGAAATGAATTAATTTCGAGAAATCAGAATTGGAAAATTTCTATCGTATTTTAGATTTGTTTACAGGTAAAATTGTTGCATTTGTATGGAATTTTATGAAGTTTTAGAAAGTTAAATAACGATTTCGAAAGCTAGTTCTATCGCATAGCGTATTAGCATCGAATCTATTTTGGTCAAAATCGTAATCGTCGTATTTATGCAAATGTCTATGCAATGTTGATGTCGGTAGTGCGAGAAGCGTTCTAAAGTAAAAACACGTACGATGTGTAATAAATAAATAATGTACTCGAATTTCATTAGATTCGCACCATACCATTATTCGATAAGAGTAAATACTTTTGTTAATTACAACTGTGTTAAATATCGTTCGTTAAGAAAGCGTATCATAGGAAAAAGAAGTTAAGTTGGCAAACCAACGAGGTTAAAAGAAAGAAGGTAACACGATTCAACTCGTAACACGTATCCAAGTAGAATATCCTACTCTATCTAAACATCAAACTCAATTAATCGTGGCAAAAAATTATTGCTCGAAATAACCTTGAAACGAATTCAACACGATCAATTATTAATACATCCCGGATACGTACGCGCCAGGCCCACTGACAGCACCATCTCGCTGTTAAAGTGCCGCGGGTGGTCCGAAACCGGTAATCGAATAGTACAAAAAAAAAAAAATTCAAAGAGCCCTATATATATATATAAATTCGAAAGAAAATAAAAAAAAAAAGACTCGTAATCTAATCAAAATATCAATAACGACCGGCTGTGGCCCGAAGATAGTGATCTATCTGACCTACGGAAAGTGGGGCGCTGGCCGAGTTGGAGGACCTCGCAGGCGCTACGTAGTAAAAGGACTGCGGTTGCGTCTGGGACTCGAGCAGTTGAAGCCTGTGCGACGGTGTCGATTGTTGCTGCTGCCGTCTCTGCTGTTGGGCGTAGAGCTGTTGCGATTGTTGCAACAGCTGGGCCTGTTGCTTCCTGTACAGCACTTCCTGGGGCTGGTTGATGGACGGCTGGGCGGCCGGTTGCTTATAGAGCGGGGACTGACGTTGGGGCTGCTGGGGCTGGATCTGCTGCAACTGCTGGAGCCCGAGATAGGACTGGGGCTGGGCTACGAACGGTTGGAGTTTGTGACTTAGGGTGAAGTCGCCCACGGTTTGGGGTAGCGATTGATATAGTTGGGTATTGTACTGACCGGTGGCCGGATCGTAAACGAGCTCCGACTGGTAGATGGGGTCTGCGGCCGGGGACGCTGCGATCGCCGTTTGACCGGCTAATTTTACTTTCGACGATTGCACGGACGATTGTTGGACTGGTTTGGGGCTCGACACGCCGACGGTGTTCACGTAACGCTCGAGCTCGGCGGCGAAGTCGAGGTGAGACGTGCTAGATGCGGTGGTGGTGCGTAGATTGGGCGAGACTGTGACCGGCGACGAGGGCCGGGAATACGATAACGCTGGACGCTCGGTGCTACTCGGGGACACGTACTGGGCGGCGACTTGTGCGACGTGGGGTCGAGGGGTGATTGCGACCGATTGCGGCTTGGCAGGGTGGCGGGTCACAGGGCGGCGGGTGGTCGTCTCGAGGGTTTGATAGGCGGTTGAGGAGATGCTGGGTTGGCCACGAAGAACGGGCGAGGCTGTGCTCTGGTATTGGGTCGTGGAGGAGGCTAGCCTGTAGAGGGCAGGGTTGGCAGTGGGTGAGGATGGCTCGTAGAGAGCCGTAGATGGCGTGACAGGGATGTAGGCCGGTTGTTGAGCCGTTCTGTAGCCGCTCCCTCTCAATTGGGACGGTTTCACGAAGTCCTCGTCGCCCAACTCTTGGCTGGCGTCGTCGTCCAACTGGTACTGCGTTTGGAATATGGTGGTGGGTGGTCTGGGCGTGGTGGGTTGTTGGTAAGCTGGTCTGGCAGCCGGTCTCGGTATCGGCCTCACGGAAGGATAATTGGCCGGGCCGGAGATATCCTCCTCCTCTTGCTTGTCGGCGAGGTCGTCCTCGTCTTCCTTGGGCGCGTTCGGGTCGCACGGATTGCCGGACACGTACGTGAACTCCCTTTTATTGCCGTCAGGGTCGATGTAGCCGTATTTGCCGCGCACCACGCAGTCGGTCCCACGAGTTTCCTCCTTGAACGAGCCGTCCGCTGCCTCGTAGCCGAAAGTGAAAGATCCGTCGTCGTTCACCTTGTTGTAATTGCGAATGGTCTGGACCGGCGGTGGCTTCGATGAGTGCAGAGCGTCCTTCGAACGTGGCGAAGGAAGGGCACGTGTACGCGGTTGGTAGACCGCTGGGCTGTAATCGTCCTCAGCTGCCTGGCTGTCGTCTTCTTCGTAATAAACTTGCGGTTCCGCGATACGAGGCCGGAGATCCGCTCGTTTCGCCTCCGTTATTAGTAACAGGCATAATGGGATTACCTGCAAATTGAAGCCAATTATTATTAGCGATCGTCGTCGACGATTATTCTTACCAATTCTTCGTATCATTCCAAGAATTTTTCCTTTCATTTTTTAAAAAACGGTATTCCACGTTTTCGCGTAGCATTCCAGTATCATAAAAATTTTACTTTTACTTTTACTCGACTCTTTTCTTTATCGTTTCACATTCTCGCGAAACGAATATTCGATCTAGGATTGTTTCACTCGATAATTAAAACAGCGTACGTAATAGCAAAGCTCTCATTAATAACACGTTACAAACCTATTAATATAATTGATAATAATTACTTGAACAGATACGAAATAACGTTTTTAAGTGGTACAAGAGTAGAAGGGGGTCGTTATATGTCAGACACGCGAGCAGAGACGAAAGAAGGATCTAATGGCGGCCCAAGAGGGGAACGGTTTTCATCAACGTCACGCGAATCGTAATCAAAATTGCTGGATTAGAATGTCGACAAACCGAAACGAGTTTGTTATTCTAGTTTCCAGCCACGAAACCGGATCTGCATGGCGGGGATTTATAGCGAATAGGAAGCAGAAGATGGCGAGGAGAGAGCGAGTTTCGCGGATCGGTGAACTCGAATACGCGCGAATGGTATGCGCCGCATAAAATTCCTTATCGCTCGCTCGACGAACCAGCTTCGCGTTGCTCGAAAGCGTGCTCGAAACGGAGGAAAGTGTTATTGGCGATGCAATAACGTTATGATATATAATGGTGGAATGGTCGATTCGATATTACGAGATCATACGTTTGGAAATATTGTTTCATTATGCAAAGAAGCGTTCGAGTGTACGAGATAATTGGAATTTCATACGTCGATCGTTAATTGGAATTTCGTGCGTGTCGAATTGACGTTGAATTGGTTTTATGTAGGAAGATGATATTGAATTTTTTGATCAAAACGGTAACGGTTTATACACGAGTGTATTAAGGCCGATTTCTTTGTAGCACGGATTCATGCGGAAACAGCGTGTTCCATAAATGATATAGAAACCGGCAAACGGCAGATTTGGGTCGATCGTAGGAAATGTTAGATTCCGAAGAATTTCTACTCGTGAGAAATCACGAGTTTCTGTAAAATGTGGAAAGTTTTGATTTATCGTACGACATCTGTTTTCGCAATAGCGATACAGAAATTCAAGGAAACAAATTGTAAAACATGCTCGGGACAGGTTGAAAAATGGAAATAGAGATAGTCGAGAACGATGGATTTGCAAATATAAACGAACGACATAATCATATTAATATCGGAAACAAAAAAAAAAGTTTTCCTTTTAAAAAGGAAAATGATCGACGAATAAAATAATAATACACCACGACCGTTCGTTACAACATTCATATATTCGGGACACGAAAACGATTCGAAGGGATAAAAACTCTACCAATCACGTTAAAGAAATAATAAAACGGTCCTTGAGACATTCCATCAAAACGATTTCTACTCCACAAAACACTGTCTCGAAATACTGGTTCAAACGCGGTGACGAAACAAGCAAACCTACCTATTTCAGGATAAGCTCGAAATGCCCTGAAGAGAAACTAATAATCTCGACTCTCTTCCCGTCACGTTTTCTGCATTCTCATTTCCATCTCTTCGTCATATCGATACGAGCCAATACACCAAGTTCTCCTTGTGATACTTTTCACCCGATTACCCATTCGTCATCGATAATTTCTCTCCCCTCCCCTTACGAGGATGATTTCCCGTCAAATGACCGCGCGCACCGTCCTCTCGAGACGCTTGTATCCAAGGTACTTCCGGTAAGAAAGAGCCCAAGAGTCGTCGGTGGGAACCGCACACGTGGTTACGTAATTTCTACTACTCGGTTGACCCGAATACGGGGCGAGGCAGAATTATGGCGGCGTGGTTACCGTGAGAGATTCAGATTCAGAGCGTCGTAACTCGCCTGGATCTCCTTGAACCGAGAGCAAATGCTCGCACAAAAGACAGGGCGCACCACGCCTCGCGACGACCCACAGGAAACGCTCGAAACGCCACTGTCACTTTTCACGTTCGTTCATGCTGTGTGTGTACGTGAAACACGGCCAGACCGTTTTTCGCCACGTTCTCTTTCGGACGATCTGTAACAGGATTTGTACTCTGTGGATCGATGGAATTGTGCTGTCGGCGGAGAATCATCGGTTATTACTTTTCATCGATCGATTCTGGATCGGTTGATTAGTGTCTTTATTCGATGCTAAGCTTGTGAAACGGATTTTGATAGAATTCTATTGTTCGAGCGTTGATTGATGAAATAATTGATGAAAAGATGAATAGTTTTGGAATTTTACAAGTATTGCATTTTACAAGTATCTAAGTTATCTAGTTTATTACGTTATTACTACATCTATGCTTGTTATGATAATTATACTCTGTTTGTTCGAATCTAATTCCTTCGTTGAAACCGCTACGCGTTTATCACCTTACAGGAAGCGTTGTCATTTCAACTATCACTTTCAATGGTTACATAGATTCAACAAGTTAACTGGAATTTCTTTTAATTATATAGTATGAAATTCAACATCTTTTCCAACTTCTCGTTTTACCATTTTTATTCCGATAGCGTTACACGTTTCTCCTTATTAATTTTTCCTTGAAAAATTCTATTTATAGAAAAGTTTGTCGCTTTTTCCAACCTTTGATCCAAGCATATTGGATTTTCTTCAAATTTGAAACGATTCACGTTAAGAAAAAAATCGAAAAATTGTTCTGTATACTTTATATATAGGCGTTCGTGTTTTATTAAATATTAACACGATTTTCTTGATATCTACGCGCTCTATCAAGTTTCCATTACGTAGAAACGTATAAAATTACGCGATGCCTTGTTTTGGCATGTTGCGGTACACAGAACCGGTGTAGAACCGACATAAGAGAGAATTCTTGCATAAAAACGCGTTACACGCCTTCGTGGAGTTTATAGAAAGCGATGCCGGTTTAATTATTGCCTGTGATATTTATGCATACCAGGAAGGTTACGGTTTTCGAATTACTTTCGAGTTCCTTTGTTTAACATCAATTATTACATCTAACTTCGTATCATTGTAAATTATTAAGTATACCGTTGACAACGAAAAGGTGTGTTTGAAGTAATAACGATAATTCTCTTGATCAATTTCTATACGTTAATTTGTACAATTAATTTTACAATCATTCTCGTCGCTTCGAACGATAAATTTGATAATCTTCTAATCTAACTCCCTTGAAAAATATTTGGTACAAAATTTCTCGTTCTTTATTCACACTTTCAATCGAATTCCAATTTCCACGTCCTTTGCTCAATTTCACTTTCGTGCAAATTAGAGCAAAACGGAGTGAAGTTCAACGAGATCAACAGCACGAATCAACCTTTCTCCGCGCCGATCAAATCTCATCGTTCTCACTTTTTTTTTTTTTAAAGTCAAGGTTCAGGAACGACGTTCAAACCGCGAGATTATCGGGGCGCAAAACGAATCAAAGTCGTGCTCGTTCAGTCGTGAACCAGCAAAAATTCCTGAGCTGGTGTAGAAAATAATAGAAGCGGTGAAACATCGGGCGGTTCTCGAAACCTTCGAGCAGGATCGTATTGCGTGTCGGTAATAGAGATAACATCGATATCGATGACTCGATTGATCGCGATCCAATGAACGAAGGAATATTCGAGACGTTGTTGGCACACAGCTCGTCCTTGAGACAGAGAGGTACGTCGTTACGGGACTTTCGAACGATACGGTATTCATCATGCTCTCTTGGGCGTGCGCCGATTAATTTCCAGTCGACCCGTGATAAAATGCGGCTATCCTTTCCTCGCGTTCATAAACCCTGCGCGAACGAACGTTCTCCAGGCGAAATGCAACCGAGTCGATGCGCATGCGTGATAAAGTGGTTGTTTCGCAAGATGGCGCGGAGAAAATCGAAGGTTATTTTCGACAGGTTATTTTCGAACTGGTCCGTGTTTTTGATCGGGGATCTGGCTACGAGTGGAATTTGGAACAAATGTTTAAGGTGGACGCGAAAATTTCGCGTTTAACGAAAAATGTAGATTTATATTATATACACAGGGTAGGTTTGCGATTGTTTGTGAAAGGTTATGTGTGAGAAAAAAAATTGTTACAAAAGATAAGCTTGCATTAAGAAGCGTGAATTAAATGATTTCTCAATATCAAATTGTTGAAACGAATGGAATTTAGGAATGTGGAGGATTTAAAGAACGCCATTTTCATGATGATTAATGATATTTCAATAACGCTATAACGATAGGAAATTGATCGCGAATTTTTTAAAATCGTATTTTAGCTTATAGTTTGCAACGAATGGTGGAAAATTATTTTAGAAATTAATTTTAATAATTTATGTACCGTAATGAGTTAATTAAAATCCGAATGTGATTAATTAAATTCGATTAATGAAAACTGTAAAAAAACTTTCTCCGATACATCTATTTTATAACTATATTAACAGGACGATAAACTTAGTCATAAATAAATTATTAGGAATTAAATATTACAATTCATTAGCAATCTACTGAAAATATCTTGAAAACATTTATATTCTTCTTAAAATTCATTCTTCTTAAACTATATAAATTTATGCTCGATTTCTCGCTTCATTGCTTATACAATATCCTTTCTTGTACGATTCAATACTCACAATCTACGAGTGTAATTAATAAACCTAATGTGTTTTTAATATCTTCCACGCCAGACAAAAAATTTGACATTGAACGTCTCAATAAATTCAAAACTTCAAAACATTAATCTCCAATAAACTGAATTTCAACATCGAATTTTCCATAAAACCGTGATCGATCCAATTCGCAATTCGATCGAAAAAAACTCGGAAAGAGAAAGGACGCGTTCAGGACGCGTAGCAGCGAGGAATGACCCAATTTTTCATCTATTGTCGATTTAATCATCGGCTCGATTAAAGTCGCACGAAATCAACCCGCCACTTTGTCGTTATTATCGAGATCGGGAGCGGACGGGCCCCGCTGGC